AAGCAGTTTCCTTGCTTCTTGCTCCAGCTTATCCTGGCCAGAGCCCATCCTCTCTCCTAAGGCCAGTGTCAGAGCTGTTCCCATCACTGCATTTCATGTTTCTTTTCAGTCTTCATTCTCACTCAGCTGCCTTTCTCTTACCTTTTCTTTTAGTTTATTCATTTTCCAGACAGCAGAGGCAGTTAAATTGTCACCTCCTACCTCTTGCCTTTTTCCAATATCTCAAGTGTAGCAATGGAGAACTTCATGTAAAAACAGTCATCCTCCTTGCACAAGGTCATCCAGGTTAATTTCAGCTGTTTAAAAAGGCAATTTGCATTAACGAGGCTAATTCTGCCCAAAGCAGATTAGGGAGTGCTCACACATACCATTTCTTTGGCAGAGCTATGAAGGCTATAGATCTCACCTGGTGGGTGGTATCAGACAGCTGAAGACTGTAACATCTGCTAATGGCATAGCTAGCTCCAGTAGAAGAAATTCATCTGTACAAAGACACAAAAATACCTCCACAAAACTGCAGACAGCAAATATATACTGTCTGTATAGTTACTGTATGTTTTGTACTCACTCATTTTCAGTGAGGCGTGACCCATTCACACAAAACTGTATTGCTGCTCTTTTTTGTGCTCAGCCATACACCTGGCAAAGCTAAGGATATTGAAGATCCATCAGTAAGGAAGAATCAGGTGGGTTTTTGGTTTGTTTTTTTTTTTTCCATGCAGAGGATTTGTGACAGCACTTGTGAAAACTGGCCAGACATATTAAATAGGATTTTGGAAATATTATCTCTTGATCCTTTCTCCTTTAAGAGAGAAAGTTTAGTATTAACCCTTGATAGAGCTTGACTCATTTTAAAATATCATGAGGTTTTTACCCTAAATTCCACAGAAGAAAATACAACTTTTCTTTCAACTAGTCAGTAAAATAGACAAAGAATGCATTAGCTAAGGAATAACACAAAAAAATCACTATTAGAACAAGCTGAACAAAGGATAGTTTTGCGTGTGTCGAGCTCATTTTACTCTGAAATTGTTTCCTCCAGAGTTATTACAGTGTTTGTAGGCAATTGAGTGCCCAGTACATCCGGAAAATTCAGTTTCTTATTTTTCTAAAGGACAACAATAAACCTCTCTACTTCATAGCTCTTTTATTCCAAGGTACAATAGAACTTCTGTTACATTTTCAGTTAAATTATTTATATGTTATGATGTCTTTCCCAGTTGGTTTTCTTCCCCATACATCTACAGAGCGGAATAGAAAAATAGCAGCATTGCATATTACCAGAGGGCTGGAAGCAGAGAAAACCTTCCCTGAAGTCTGTAATGGAGGGTGTGTATTTAGTTGAGTTCAAATCACAATGACTTTCCTCAAGGAAGATCATTCTATGATTCTGTTCTATGATTCTATGATTCCTTGTGCAAGGAGTTGCAGGTTTGTGGTCCACCATAAGAGAAGAATAGGAAAGAGGCTGCCTTCATGCAATACCTCAGGGGAAACAAAGAGAGGCCAGACTGGGAAATACTCTTTGTCACAAGAAATTTTACAAGTGAAATAACTTAGCTTTTAATCATGTGATTAAGAGTTCAGTGGGAGTACAGCAGTGTTTGTATCCATACCCATAACATTTCATGCATTATTTTTTTTCCTAGCATTTCAGCCTTCAGTGTACAGGTGGGACACAACTCACAGTTTCTGGCTTTTATGGGAGCAGAGTACTTGCCAAAGGCTGTTCTGAAAGTGTAGCTCTGAGAGATTTTGAGTCAGATTGCATTTGAAGATCATGGCCACATCAGATGGACCTGAAGAGCTACCTATGCTGAGGTCTGGTCCACACAGTCTCCACTGGATGATTCTGTGGGCAGAGCTAAAACCTCTCCATGCTTAGGGACTGATGTTAGAACTGGCCTTTAAAAATGAGGGATTAATCAAACTCCAGAGGAGGAGCAAGAGGAAGGTCCATTAACAAAGTGGAAAGTAGAGTGGAAAGCAAAGTGCCTGGTTTGTGCCTGTTATGGTAGTAGTTTGCTGTGGATGAAAGCCTACTGGAAAGGAGATTGGGACGAACCCCATGGCAGCAGAGCCCTGGGAGCCAGGAGGGGCTGGTGAGCATAGATCTCAGTTTGTTCCCAGGGTGAAGTTCAGCAGCTGCTGGACTTTGTGGTGCATCCCTCACCTTCTCTGACAATCAGGAGGTCTGCCTTAATGAACACTTCTCAAGTTACTGTAAAGGCTGCTTCATTTTCTTGGCACTGACGTACAGATGTGCACATGGATAAACATCACAAAGACTTTGGAACATCTCAGGCCTATGCCCCTTCGTGCTGACTATGGCTCCTACTCACACTGAAGCTCCTTCAAATAACCATCTGGGTAAATGAGAGTGGTCATTACCAAGAAGACAGGATCAGTGTCAGTCATTGAGATTTTAGTGTAATGAGTAGTCTGAGCAACAATGGAGTGAGAGTGTCACATGCCTCGTTTCCTTGGCTGGATGGCACTCAGTGTTCTGGTTTTATGTGAATGTCACATAAGTGAAGTACATGTGTCATTTGAGTGACATCATTCCATTCCCACTAAAGCCTTCCCCATTCTAGCCAATTGTAAAATGGTGGAGTGGTGGCAACCATCCTGACTGCATGGTGTCACAGGGCTGCGGAGAGAGCTGAGGGTCTGCCCCATGGGGGCTCTGCAGTGGTGGGTTGTGTTCTCTGAGCAGCTTGTCCATGTAGTCACAGCTTCTGCACATACTGAAGTAAAAGTTCTGTGTATTTAACAGGGCTGTTTTGAGATGAAAATTTATAAAGCATGTTGGGATTGAGAAGTATTGCATATTGTCTGCTGCTGTTGCCATTAAAACACTAGCAGACTGCTTCAGGTTATGAGTTTTATTTCAATAGCTAGGACTAATTTTGGTTTGGATTTTTTTTAGGCAATATGTACGTAGTTATATTCTTGCATTATTAATAGCTGCTTAAAGTTTTTCACAGCCCTAGATACCTTCTTTCACAGGAAAAACAACCCAGAGTGTATCATTTGCTGCAGCACCATGGTGGTAACAGTGCTTCCCACAGTAGCAGTAATACTTGCTGTTCTGCTGGTTTGTAGGAGGCAGGTAGATCTTAACGAGCACACATTTATGTAACTCCATTAATTTGACAAGGGCTATATTACTTTGCTCCAGCCAAGAAAGTGGTCCCGAGTATCTTTTTATATGCTAGTTATTGGTTGAGTGGGACACATTCGGCCACTATAGTTTTATTTACGAGGGATTTCATTGGGTTTTTGAGAATGTCTGTAATGAACTAGAAGAACAACATTATTCTAAGGAGAAGTCTAGTAGGATTTTCTCCTCTCTGTTGTTGTTGGATTTTTACCTTCATTTATTCAAAGGTGGACAACTGCTGTTTCCCTGCATTAGCTCCCTGTTGCACTTGAACTTGTCACACTGCTGTTCGGGCAGAATCAAATCACTCATATGGCTTCAGATGCATACTGGAACCACAGGCAACCACTATCATCATTATCCGTACAAATGCATGTCAATCATGAGGAATTCAAAACCTCTGATGTATGCACTAATATGACTGATGCACTAAATTTTACATGTGTACTTAAATGTGAATCACCATAATTAAACAATGAGAATGCATGCAAAAACAGACAAGCATTTATCTCCATCAACAAAAGAGGCTTTTAAAAAGACATTTCCCTTCAAACAGCACTGAATCTGTGCTCTGTGCTGAGTTCTTACAAAGAGCTAATCACATTTAAGGTTGGAAGCCTTCACATCCAATAATGGAATTACGAATATCTTAATAATACCACCCATTATTCTTCTGTAAACCTATTATTAGAGTGCACTGCTGCTGTTTTCTAGAAATAAGAAATTCTTACCAAAATATTTCACTCCTAATGAGTTCCTAGTAGAACAAATTTTTTGCAAGTCCCTGTGAAGTTACATTTCAATTATGAAGCATATCTTCTTTGGGTTATTTTGCAGGTTTTTTTGTTTGTTTGTTTGTAGTTATCACATGTGTAAAGGAGAATCACTAATCAGTTCTCTTGAGTGGGCAAGATTGGGAATTGATTGAGAATTTTTGGTGGGTCTACGCTAAGTCCTTCCATCCCCTAGCTTTTATTGATAGTAGGGGTTACCATTACCCAGCTACAAGACCTTGCACTTGGCTTTGTTGAACCTTGTGAGGTTCTCGTGGTCCCACTGCTCAAGCCTGTCTAGGTCTCTTTGAACCTAGGCATTCCATCCCTCAGGTGTGTCAACTGCGCTACACAGCTTGGTATCATCTGCAAACTTGATGAAGGTGTATTCATGTCCCACTGTTGAAGTCACTGATGAAGACATTAAAGAGCATCAGTCCCAGAAATGCCCCCTAATGGACACCACTCATCACTGATCTCCATCCGGACATTGAGCCATTTACCTTCATTCTTTGGGTGCACTCTTGCAACCAGATCCTCATCCATCAAGCAGTCCACTTGTCAAATCCATATCTTTCCAATTTGGAGAGAAGGATTTTATGGGGGTTCATGTCAAAGGCCTTACTGAAGAGACAGATGACATCAGTGGCTCTTTCCTTGTCCATCAAGGCAATTATGCTATCATAGGCAGCCACTAGGTTGGTCAGGCAGGACTTGCCCTTGATGAAACTGTGCTGGTTATCTTGTTTCACAGCCCGGTCTTCCATGTGTCTTAGCACAGGAAAGTCTGTTCTGTGATTTTCTCTAGCACAGAGTTGAGGCTGGCAAGTTAGTAATTTCTTGGGTCATCCTTTCTACCCTTCTTAAAAATGGGTGTGATACTGTCTTTTCTTCCAGTCATCAGGGACTTCGTCTGACAATCATGACTTTTCAAATATCATTTTTAGATTTTTGAGCTGGCCTTTACTAGAAAAATTATAAGTGAAAGAATTTTAGATATTGTTTGGTTTTGCTCTTCATGCTACTAGCTGGTATTTTACCACTCAGTGCTTTATTTATTCCAGATAATTGACAAGAGCAAGAGAGACCCCTCTGAAGAAATAGAGATTCTCTTGCGATACGGACAGCATCCAAACATCATTACTCTTAAAGATGTGAGTACTCACTGAGCACTACAATATTAAATAATTTTCACTTTATGATCAGGCTCACCTCTTATCTGGAAAATTCTCTAATTTAAGTTTGGAGTTAAAACAAGACACATTGAAGTCAAGGAAAAAAAGATGGCATTAACAAATTATTGGCTAACAAATGGAAAAACAAGTCAGGTTGTACACTCTCCAAGTCTTGTCTAATCAACTGCGGAAAAAATCAAAGGTGCACCATGCTGGAGAACAACAAAATATACCTGGTTTTGCAGTACTTTCCAGTAATTTGCCAGCCAGTAACTCATTATGGTTCACACCTTACAGAAGTCTACATTTTCTGATCACATACCCCAAGAAAATCTCACCCAATTCCTAAATATTAAAGTGTCTTAAAACTGTGCAAAAGAGAAATTATATTCCTTTCCAAAAGCACTTGGCATTGATGACTGTAACACTGTCTATTATTTCAACCTAGATAAGGGATTATGACATGAAAATGGACATCTTCCAACTTAGACAAAGAAATGTCTTTTCCCCCTTTCAATTGACATTGAAAATAAGTACATGATACAGCTCATGCCAATATACTCACCAGAACTGCAAATAAAAACTCTATGACATCATTGGAAGCTGGTCTTGGCCAACAGTATAATACAGCTCATTTAGCTGATCATGACTCAAAGGGAAATATTGGTATTTAAAATGGCAAACATTACTCTGTAAAACGGGAAAGAGAACATTACAGGGAAGGAAGCTTGGGTGAGAGCCAGGAGACATTTCAAGCTGTGTGAAGTTGTGCTGCTTTTAGCAGTTTGGTCTACACTGCCGACATGATAGCAGATCAGGAAGTCTGAGTTTCTGCATGGACAAATCAACAAGTTGCTGCAGACACGAGAAAAAAGTGATGATGAAGTTGTTTTATGAAGTTGTCTTTTCTGATGTTAAGCATAACAAGCACATTTCCCATGCATTAGCTGACATTTTCTTCTTCCAACATCTTACGTTCAAGCCACTAGGCTGATTAAAGAGCAGATCTTCACCAAGTTAGATGAAGCTTGAGTCCAAAATATATGCTTATTATATTACTCTCACAGGTCTATGATGATGGGAAATATGTGTACCTGGTGATGGAGTTGATGCGGGGAGGAGAGCTCCTGGACCGCATTCTTCAGCAGAAGTGTTTTTCAGAGCGAGAGGCCAGCGCTGTGCTGTGCACTATCACCAGGACTGTGGACTACCTGCACTCACAGGGGGTAAGCATTACATTTTTGCTTCTCTGCAGCAACTTCTGTAAACTCCAACATTTTGAAAAAGCACATGGTTGTGATTATCCTTCTCTAAAATACAAACATATTTTTTTCCCCAAAAAACAGAGTTCAGTGAAGTTATGTTTCATTCTTTTTCCACATTTAGAATTGTATTTGAGATGTAAAAAAGGATTGTAGCCTTTCTAGCCATTTTGCATGTGAACTAGAGTACATCAAAGTGGTGTTTTCATCCCTGAACTATAATGATTTTCAGCTATCTTTCTGACATAGTAATTATTTACTGCTATTCCTTTCTGTTTATTGCTGTAATTATTGCAGTATCTTTTATCAGATTTTCCAATAGAACATCTGAGTCAGGTAGAAATCTATCTGAGACAGATGGAAAAAATAAATGCTCAGCTTCCAAATTGAAGTGACAGTTTGAGCAGCTGATGCGAAAGTTTCCTGACATGCTGTTGAAGAGCTGATTTAAAGTCCAAGCTTCCTCTCCTTTTCCACTTTTCAAGGACAAACAGTTTGCATAACTGGTCAAATATTTGATTTTTCCTTTCATGGTTAAAGCAAGCATATTTTGTGCTTGGACCAGTATGTATTCATGATAGTTTTCCAGTTGTATAATCAGTAAAAGTTGTTTCCCCACCATAGAAATGCAGTACCTGTTGTAAAATATGCAGCATTGGTTGCCTACAGGGAAGATTTTTGTGAAAAATAGCCTTTCTTTTCGAACGTTAGCCACTTCTAAGTCACAAGAAGATGCTTTCCTCCAATGGCAGGATTTCACTGTGACCTTTCTAGCTGAATATTTCAGGACTATCTGAGAGACCGTGACACCAGTGTGTTTGTACAGCAGCCCCTTTCACTGCCTTCAAGAAGGTTGTCCCTCCTTAGAACAGCTGGTTCCATCATATTTCAGCAGAGGTTGCAAAACATACTCATTTTTGTTTTAACAGATTTTAAACTTTTTTTTTCTCCTTTATTTACCTGAGATTTTTATGCAGCTTTTCTCCAAAATGGAAACACCTTGGGTACAAGCTCTTGACTTACTCAAACAACAAACCAGACATGGCAGCCAATCCTGTGTGCTCCTCCTCTCCTTACTCATTATTCACTGCTTTCTCATTAAGGTGGTTCACCGAGATTTGAAGCCAAGTAATATCCTCTACATGGATGAGTCAGGAAACCCAGACTCCATCAGGATCTGTGACTTTGGCTTTGCCAAGCAACTGAGAGCAGAGAATGGGCTGCTCATGACTCCCTGCTACACCGCCAACTTTGTCGCCCCTGAGGTAGGATCATGTTTCAAAGCTGTGGCTGACACATATGGCATAGAAAGAAGTCTTCTGTCCCTCTCACCCTTTTCTCATTGCCTTTCAAAGAGGAGCAGGGCAGACACACAGCTACAGGAACTTTCACAGCTTTTATTACTAAGTTTCCTATTCCTGTCAGTCTTTTCGGGGAAGTTGCTTTTAGTCTCAATATCAGGAGTAAGACCCAAAAGAAATACCCATGGATGAAATCTTCACAACAATGAAGTTGGTAGGAGCTTTGCAATGATTTCACTGGAACACTGAAACATCCCTCCTCCTGATCTTTTCAAGTTCAGGGGATGCAGGGACTAATAGTAAAGATAGGAAAATTGTATAAATCTCAAAACTCCTCTCTCCCAGGCCTTCCTGTCTGTCCTTACTCTCATTTTGGAAACAAGAAGTAAATTTCTTTGTGGCATCAAGTCTCTGGGCTTCTTATATCGTTTCTCTTACCATACCCTGCCAAGCTGCTCGTGGAGAAACAGACTGTTTGATGCAAGTAATAACCCAGAACTGACCTGCCCTTTTCTGCTGATTGCAATATGTTGAGGTTCCCATCACTACCAGAGCTAACAACAACTGTGTGAGGAAGGAGAGGGCTACTTTCCTATTTTTACAGATGTGAAAACGGAGACAAGCTAAATAAGCCCCACATTCAGGGAGTGGTAGTTTTGCATTGTCAGTGGGTGCTGCTCCTCTCTCTTTTTCTTCCTCATAACTGTCCTCCACCCAATGCTCTTCTGCATGGATGCAACTGAGAAGTGAAAAAATGGGATGATCTTCCTGTACATGGTCCTTCCATGATGCCACAAGATACAAGGATCCAGCACCAGAAAGAGAATTTGGGAGTATTATCAGGGGCAGTATAAATTCAAACAAATATTTTTCTTTTCAGTAAAAAAAACCTTCCACTGCCAAAACAGATTGAGTTGTTATTTTATCATTGTCTGGATGTTTTTTCATTTTAGATACTGGAATGAGCTATATGAAATGTATCAAAATAAGTAACGAAAGATCTGTGACACCCACAGATGTTTAATTTCAAAACAAAAAATTAATTGTGTTTGTAAGATTTGGAGCTCTGAGGTTTTCTCCAAGATACGATGTGATTAAAATAGGTGTATGTGGTTTTCCTGATGGGCTGTTTTGTTCAGTGTCTGTAATCATAAACGTCATCAGCCCAGTGCTGTTTCAGTTTAGCCTCTTCTGGTTTGAACCGAAGGCAGAACTCACACTCCCAGTTTGTGATGAGCAAGACAAGTCCCACTAAAAAGCAGGAAATGTCTGAGATTAACTGAAATGTTACTGGAACTGCCAGAGAGCTTACATAGAGGCCTCACTACTTACATTTTACTTGTGATATAATGCTGCCCTCCAGCCTGGACCTGGCTTCTGCATTTTCTGAGCCCCACTGCAGCATCTGCAATATGCAAAGAAGGCAGGAAGTCAGACCGAATGATGACACAGAAGGATAGCAGCAGAGGGCTGATGACATATTTGCTACTTGAGTCTAGCTTTATTGTTGGAAACATTTAATTTGTAGTTCGGATGAGAATATTGGAGAAGTTGAAAATTCTCAGAAAGAAAGAAGCACTCTGCCACCTAGCGTGAGCAATGTTGTTTGCAGAGACTGAACAGCGAGTGAGCAGCCTACTGAGCCCCGGCATAGCCCTTGCACAAACTAAAAGGACTTCATTCCGCAGATTTCCTCCAAAATCTTTGAACTCTTTTTTTTTTTTTTTTTTTTTTTTTTTTCATTAAAAATTATAAGGTTATTATCTTTCATGCCCATACGTATCCCTGTCTTTGACACAACTGAGAAAGGCTGTATTTATAACACTGTTAATTCAGTAAATCAAAATGCATAGAAATAGGAGGAATTTAGAGAAGCATCTGAATCACTGTCACAACTGAATGAATCGAGCTGAAGTTTGGTTCTGGGCACCACAGCATTCTGCCATGTGTGGAGCTAAAAAGCAGCTCATGAATATATTTCAGATCCCACCAAATTCTTTAGGTGACCTAGACCCTAAATTCTCCAGCAGTCTACCAGAGAATCATGGAATCACAGAACAGCTTGGGTTGGAGAGGACCTTAAAGATCTAGCTCCAGCCTTCTGCTGTGGGCAGGGCTGCTACCCACTGTATCAGGTTGCCCAGGGCCCCATCCAACCTGGACTTTAACACCTACAGAGATGGGGCATCCACAGTCACTCTGGGAAACCTGTTCAAGTGCCTCACCACCCTCTGAGTAAAAAATTTCTTCCTAACCTCTAACCTAAATCTATCCTCTTTTAGTTTGAAGCCATTCCCCCTTGTCCTTTCACAATCAGACCATGAAAAATGTCCGTCCCCCTCCTGCTTATAAGCTCCCTTCAAGTACTGGAAGACCACAGCGAGTTCTCTCCAGAGCCTTCTCTTAGAACCGGAGCCTTGTTAGTGGGCAGAAACTTTTGCAAAGCTCTTTCATTAAGCTTAGATTTCTTGCTTTCACTTAGATCTGTTTCTAGGATACAAGTTATTGTTCAATGATCTCCCCCCTCCTCCCCTCATAAAGCCCCATTTTGGTCAAAATTTCCAGCACTTGCTCCTGCCAGCTTCATTTTCTTCCTTTTACAACAGTTGCAAAAGTCAGCTAGAGACATTTTAGAAAAGCAATGTCACCACTAACTAATTGTCTGCTATTGTTATCCATGGAGTGATGTTGCTGCAGGTGAGAAGTATCTGCCACCAAAGCTTTCTTAGGAAATGGAACAGAGTCAGTGTCCCTGTTGTCTTGCAGAGTTGTTGCAAATTGAATGATAGCAATAGCTATCAGCAACTCCCGCCCATCATTTTGGGGCTGTGTGAATACTTGCTTAATAGCCTACTTCTGTAAATTTCATCACTACCTAATTTTTCTGTCATTTGTATTTGACTCTATTGTCCTTTTGTTATTTGAGAAAGACAGTGATGGCAATGAAAATGTAACTGCTTAAGAAGCAACAAGAATGCCTACACCAAGGGATAAATGTTGGGTATTCAGTCTCACATACGAAGCAAGAAGCAACTGAGCTTGACAAATAGAAATGATTGAGTTTTTTTTTCCCATAAATTCTAACATAGTAGAGGAGCAATGAATGCACAAACTAAAGCCATAGGAACAATTAAAACAGCCTGAGAGTACACATAAAGCACAGGAGAGAAAGGTAGAAGCAGGATTTTTACCAGCTTTGTCACAGGAGAAAGTGTGCTTTTTCTCCATATTATATCAATGTGGCAAATGTTCTCCTAGCAGCATGGCAGATGGCTGCTTTACCACTCATCATTTGTAAAATTTGTCAAGGCAACATTTTCTGAAACTGAAAATAATTCTGAAAAACTGAAAATAATAATAATAATAATAATAATAATAATAATAATAATGCATCTGATCCACCAGAAGGGAACTAAACTCTTCTTGTGTGTCAGAACTTAAGTTAACAAAATGGTTGTTTGCATTTATGAACAAAGAAGATCTGGAGGTGGCTCATGAGTCTTTCTGAGCCAAAGAGAAACACAGCTCCTCCCCTGGTCGCACCAGTGCTTGTCAGTTGTTGGCTTTACTTTCACTTGGACCTGCAGGGACTCAAACATATATTTCTTCTGTTATGCATTTGCATAGATTAAATCCATATTACATCCTTGCTGGTCTAACTGTCCATCCTGTACCAATCCTGAACCTTCTCAGATCTCTGCTGAGTATCATGAAATTTGCTTTCTCTGTGTGGAAAAGTTTTCACACATTAGTTTTTAATCCCCATCTAAATGCTGCCACTTTGCTTACACTAGAAGTAAGATAAACCTTTTAGCTTTCTTTGCAGTTGTAATGTATCTTTATGAGTATGATATAAAATATGAGTTAGTGAGCATCCAGTTGCTGTATTAGATCCAAACAAAATTAAGACATGCTTCACTGTCAGTCAGCCCTATGCTTGATTCGTCCACAGTGTACTCAGTGACCTTCCTGATCAGAGGACACATTTAAGAGTATTTAGAGCTTTCTTCAAGAAATGTTTAAAATGCTGAAAAAAGTAGAGAGGGTTGCCCTGCTTTGATGTTGAAGGCCAACACACCACCTCCAGCTCAGTCCCTGTAAAGATGGACCTGCACACTGACCAACCAACCCTGGCCTGAGCCCCTCTGTACTGCTACCAACAGCTGGCTCCTGAGCAGACACCTCTTCAAGCCTTTGATCAATGCTTTTTGAAACACAGAAGCAAAAATTCAGGAATCAGATTAACTTGTATTTTTTCCCCCATCTTCACACAGGTCCTTAAGCGCCAAGGTTACGATGCAGCCTGTGACATCTGGAGCTTGGGGATCCTGTTGTACACCATGCTGGCAGGGTAAGATGAGAGGTTTTCCTCCAGTGGGTATTCTTCAGCAGTGATTAAGCCAGAAAGGAGTCTAAGATAGAGACAGCAAAATGCCTGGCCTATTCCAGGAGATATTTTCAGTTGTAAGAGGCAAGAAAACAGATGCTGAGACCTAGAATTCGAACAAATTTTTCCAAAACATGTGAATATCTTTGACACTTTACAAGCCACTTAGGGTTTTAATATCCTGGGCCTGTAAATGTTCACTGAGACTTTGAGTCCTAAAAGGTTCACTGACCGCTTAAGTAGCGTGAAAGTGTTGCACTGGGAGAGCAATGTTGGAGTATATGCCAGACCATGGCCACCTTACACACAAGAGGAGATTTATTTGTGTCTATTAATACATGTATTCTCTTCAGCTTCATTCTTCTCCTATGGTTGTTGTTGTTGAGGTATCTGAGCAATTTAAAAGGCTAAAAAAAAAAAAAAAACAACAAAACCTCATTTTCAGATGCTATTCAAAAAAATATGCTGCAGAAGAGGCAAAGTAAATAGACCAGCAAGGACAGGAACAGGCAGCAGGATCTTCTTGGGGGGTATTTGGATTAGGAAACCTACTAATGGATTGGCTAAGTATTGATGCAAAGAGACTGAGAGAAAGAGTGAAATAAGCAGTGTGGGATAAGAATAAGGTGTGCTGGAGTGAATAGGAAACACTGTGTGCAAATCCAATCTGGATTTGTTAAGCCCCCAAACTTCATTTCTCTTGCTGGCTGCAGGCTATGACATGTGCATATATATCCTATTTATTGGTGTATTTATCCAGTGACCACTCATGGCAATTTAGTTCTACTTCATGATCATTCAGCTGTGGCAAGAAACTTGTATTCCTAAGTTCATGCAGAAAACAAACAGGTCCTGTCACTGTGTTATTTGTGTCACTTGCTTTGTGAACTATAGAATAGGTGCCAGGAGTTCCTGCCCTATTTCGATCCTGAGTACAGTTGTGCTCAACATTATCTGACATATAACGGGGCTGTCTCAGCTAAAAACAGGACAATACATTCAAAATGTTTTGTTTTAAAATGTCACTCTTAAAAAAAATATATCGAAAAGGAGGTTGGTAGCTCTGCATGTGGCAGGAGGGTTGAAGCTTGATGGTCCTTGATGTCCCTACCAACCTAAGCCATTCTTTGATTCTATGATTCTAAATGTATTCGAATCTGAAATACAGATCACACAGTTGAGGTGTCACCACTGTATTGTGAATGCTTTTGTCTTCCTTACCAGAGGAAAGCAGTAGGAGCTGACTATTATTTGCACCCATGATGTTATCCTCTTCCCAGCTTTTCTATGAGCAGAGAGGGCTCAGACATGAAGTGAAGGGCTGGAGCACAGGTCTGGGATACTATTAACACCAAGAGTGGAGTTTCAGCCAGTCCTGAACTCTCAGTGTGTCCCTTTGATGGGAATAGAATAACAGCCTGTATGTTTCTGGGCTGAATTTCTGTGAAATCTGAAACACTGGTGGAAATGACAAAATACAGCATGAGAAATTGGATGTGCTTTTACAAAACAAGGGGATAAGAAACTGAGGCCAAATCCCAGTATCTGTTTAACAGCAGAAGAAACAAACTGATGTATATCCACGACAGCAAAGACAGACGGAAGGGAAGGTATACAAATCCCAGATACCCCTTCTTCTAAAAGTAGACAGCTGTTTAAAATCGCAGAATAAATTTTGGCCTGGTATGTTTTAGTCAGCTGCAAAATCTTGTCATTCATCACTTGTCAGTCTGTGTAGAAAAAATATCTGGGCCCGGTGGCACTGATTTTGTAAAGCTGAGTATGTTTTACTACTGATTTCTGACTGGCTAGATCAGGAAGTTTTTAAATCAGCTATTGCATAAAATTTGTTTTGTCCAGCAATCTTGCATGTTATGATTAACAAAGGACTGCAGAATAGATTGCAAAGATTTTTTTTTTTCTTTTTTCTTTTTTATTTCAGAAATTATTTTTTCTCCTTCATTATTTTTACATTTTATTCCCAATATGAAGGTTCCTCTATCAAGAATAAAGCAAAGTCAAAATGAATACAGAAAAAGTAAAAGCATGTGTTATTTTATAAAAGTATATTGCCTTCAATAAAACTGAGAACATAATAGAAATTTTATATAAAAAATGTAATGTCTTTCCTCTGCAAAACAACTTAATATGAGGAAACAGTGCGCTGCATATTTTGAGTGAAAATGAAGCAACCATGTCTGCAGTTCAGTCTGGAAGAAAATCCGTGTTGAAATCTATGATGTTTATCACTAGATCCTAGAAGTCAACTACCTGGAAATTAAACTTTTATTTTTAATAGGTTCACTCCTTTTGCAAATGGGCCAGATGACACCCCAGAGGAGATTCTGGCCAGGATTGGCAGTGGCAAATACGCACTTACTGGAGGAAACTGGGATTCAGTATCAGATACTGCAAAGGTCAGTGGACGCTTCCTTAATTTTTTTCCTATCCTGTTAAATGGACTGGCAGCCTGCAGTTGTATCCAACTTAGAGAGGGTCAGAAGGGTTATTTCTCAGTGCCCTGTGGAATAAGAGCTTGCTTATTTATGTTCATACCACTCTGCGCAAAATAGTGTTTGGAATTTTAGTAGTTATTTTAGTTAAAATAAGGCGTAACGCAGCACCTTCAATTGTGAATACTCTCAAATCAGCATGCAGCTCTTTTGTCGCGCAATTGAACTGTGAGTAGAAGTGCAGGGTAGTCAGTGCCATGAATTCATGGTCTATATGTGAGTCACGTAAGATTGAGCAGGCAGTTTTTAAACTAGCATTTTTAACTCCTGTGCTGTCTGCAGTTGAGGCCACACATCTATCACAGAGCCTGGAAATCCCAGGATCTGGAATTCAAACTGGTGCTGAGACTTTTGTGTGTGAATCTATGCACTAGTCTGTGAGATAGGTGCATGGGCAGGAAAGCTGTTGAGCTTCCAGTTGTCTGGCATTAATTAGAAAGTTTGACACAGTTTATGTATTCCTCCAGATTTCACTTTTACCAACTGGCATTATGGAATAGAAAAACAATGATATATTCAGTCACAAAACTGCAATTAATTCTAGTAACTTGCTTGGATGTCTCCAGATGGCATCCTCTCTAGACAGAGTTTATCACCTTTATGTAGTCACCATAATTATTAACACTCAGTAAGCTGAATACCTTCCACATTATCTTTCAGTTGTATTATCATTCAAGAATTGGATGTTACACCTGAACATTTTGAAGATGAGGCTTTTTATTTAAAAAATATACAGCATTTCTAAAATGCAGACTCCTCTCACTTGTACAGGCTGGTGATGACTGTGTCATTGAGAATATCTTACTAAATCCTGTGCTGTTATTAATTACTTTTTCCCTCTTACTGTTTTCTTCCTTTTGAACCTAGGATATTGTGTCTAAGATGCTTCACGTAGACCCTCATCAGCGTCTCACAGCAGTTCAAGTGTTGAGACATCCATGGATAGTGAACAAGGAATATCTGTCTCAAAATCAACTTAGCAGACAGGATGTTCACCTGGTGAAGGTATGTCCTACACTCCTAGCTCTTTCTGGCAGAAAGAGCTGGGATTTTTGTAAATATTCTAGAAAAAGGGAGAGGAATTGGGAAAAGTTTGCCACAGAGGCAAAATTTAATATGGCACTGTACTAAAAGTAAAGCTTTTTGACTCATCACCTGCTTGATATTGTTAACTTTCAGCTGCGTTACAATGAACTCTGTCTATGTACTGCTGCCTACTGCTTTGAATCAGGCGCTACATCTGTCTGTCAGCCAGCAATCATTGTTATCACTTAATGGAAATTGGGCCTGCACCCAGGGGATTGGACTGGGAAAGAGAGGGAAGAAGCATCTAAGAAATGAATTTTAGCTCAATGTTTTCTCTTTTTCTATTGTACAGGGTGCAATGGCAGCCACTTACTTTGCTTTAAACCGAACACCTCAGGCACCAAGGCTGGAGCCTGTATTGTCCTCCAATCTGGCTCAGCGGAGGGGCATGAAAAGACTTACCTCAACCAGATTGTAGCAGTAGCCCCACAAGGTCTCCTTGGAAACCCACAGTTTATTATTTGAGAGATTCATCTTTAGTTGGTTAGTATAACTTTTCTGGACACCTTGCACATGAAATCACTGGAACTAGCAGAAGTCCAGCATAAGGCAAAATCTACCTTTCCTCCATCATTTCTTTTACATTCCAGCCAGAATCCTGAGTTTAACAACTTCACAAAGATGTGCCAATTTTGCTAGTAGCTCTGTTTCCTTACTGAGGTAAAGCCAAATAAAGTAGACACGCCCCATCCATCCCTCCCTAGAAGAGTCTTTAAGATGTTCTGCAGGAACATAGTTTTCACTGTTTTTTTCTCAAGAAAAGCACTTTTTGTAAAGAAGATGCAGTCAGATTTGAATGTTCTCAGCAGTTCCCACAAGCATCACGATGAAATGCTCGGCTGGTCGCCTACTGGTATCCACTCACCCCAGGAGGACTGAAGGCTGCAGAGACACATGGATAATACCTTACTGGAAATTAATGCTATACAGCATGAAGGAGAGCAAGCTGTCCGTGGTGGAAACACCTTCTGATTCCAAGAAATGTTTTGCACTTTGCCCCTGCCCTGTCTGGAACGATGTCAGCAGCGCTCGAGGAGAAGTGCACACTGTGAGCTTGACTTTGACAGAGGTCTGGTCCTCTGAGAGCAGAAAGTCTCTGAGAAACATAGTCCTCCAAGAGGGCTATTGAGTCCCATGGGTCTGTGGGAAAGCATTAGTCTAAAGTAGTGGAGCCTATGGATGAGAGGTGACAAAGGTGTCTGGTCTCAGCTCATAAGAAGGCCGTCTGCCTCTGGATGCAGGCAAGGTCACTGCCACCACTGGGGAGTGCCCATTTCTGAAGGGCCCAGCCAACTCTGTCACAAGCTTTAACCATAATAAATCAGGAGGAGAGACAGGAGGATGCTATGCTTTTATATTTATATAAATATATATACATCTATATTTATATATATATAAAAAAAAAATCTGTACCCTACTGCCTGGATTATTCAAGTTCAGGGAAATAAAACTTGGTTGAGAAGGTCTCAGCAAAGCGGACCTTTTTCCTCATTCCCTGAGCTACCTTTTTTATTGTTTTTCTTACCCATTGTGGCATATGGTGATCACGAGCTGCCCAGGATTCTTCTTTATAATGCTTTTGTTTTGTTTTCTGAGTGAATTTTGTCACCTGAGATGCTTTGTGGGGAGAAGCTAATGTGCTATATTGAGTTTTTGTCTATTTTGAAGGGAGAAAAAAAACAAAACAAAACGTTAACATGGAGCTTTGTGTGCTAGAGGTGGTACTTGCCTGGCTGGGTAGTGCTGCACTATGGTGCCACGTGAAATTACCAGGTCATGGCATCAGTGTTCAGGGGGACGATGAGTTGCATTTGCTAAAGCAAATGCTTCCTAAAACTATCTGTGTTCCAGTGTTAACTGAACTTTGTTTGTTTGCATTAGCCTATTTTTAAATTTAAATTTATTCTTAATAATTTAAACCAATATTTAATGTCCAGGTTTATGTGCTGTGCACACAGGAATGCTGCAAAGCAGCTCCTCTTGAAGGCCTTCTCTTTTCTAGAATAAACAATGCTGTGAAACTTCACACAGAGGATGAATTGGCTTGAATTGCTGTGTGGGAACATGCATAGGTGTGGCTACGTTTATTTACAAAGCAGCAGAGAATAATTTGCTTAATTCTCTACTCTGGCTAAGCTGTGCTCAATATTAGCTATTTGCTGCTTTTACACTTTTCATTGGAAGTTAATTAAGTCTCATACATTTCTGCTGTCAGAGATGTCTTGACTGATGCAGAGATGTGCCAGCCAACTCCCTGGATGTGACTTCTGTCTGCAGGAAGGCAAGGTGGCATGGGGATGCTGAGGGCATCTGGAGGGAGGGCTGGATTTTCTGGTGTCCCAATTGATTTGAATTGTTTCAACGAAATGTCTTTTTAACATGTCATTGTACATAGGCAGAAAGAGTGCTGTAAATATTAGGTACAGTTTTTGTCTCCACTAGAAATTTCCTGGCATCTTTCTCCCCTTGTTTCAGTTTGGATTCTCCTCACAGTCATTGGAAACAGTCTGATCCCTTGTTGATGTACTCAGTCTTAATTTTTCAAGCTTTTTCTTTTTCCATCTGATTATGTTGTAGGCCAAGCTTACAGGATGCTGCTCTTCCAGGAGTTCAATAGTTTGAATTTCTTCCTGGCTGAGCTCTTTATAGCCCAGCAGTTATCACCCTATTAACCATACAAGGTTGGGGCCATGTACAGAATGCTACATTTTGATGCTCATTAATTATTTTCATTTATAAGCCCATAAATTACATACAATGGTATTTGAATATCAAGATTTTGTTGCCATTGTGTCCAGATGTATACCTGTGTGTGCATATCAAAAACATGCAGTCCCAGCTTATCCAAGTGAGAATGTCAGCATAGTCAGCAAAGCAAGTGCTTGGCATCTGAGCAGGCAGGGGATGGCAGCAAGGCACCAAGGCACCAGCTCTGCTGTGACATGTACTGGCATGGGGCAGTAGGGCCCTCCACTGAGGTGGGTGCAGGCAATAGGCTTTTTAGACAAGCAGCTTACCCATGCCAGATTGTGCATGCAAAGGTGGGAGGCAAATCCTGGCTTCAAGAAGTGTGCCACAAGTTTGCGTAAAATGCCAGTAACCAGAAGGTGTATGCTTTCAGATGATGCGCTGTGGGGAGATGGTCCTGACTATGTGTATTTTTGCCACTGTGGAGATTATAAAGAAGAAATCCTGAGGTTTGTTATGAAATCATCAGTTTTCACAGAGAGAATTCCTGATTATGTAGAGCAATCCCTAATAGGACGAAGGCAGACAAACATGGAAGACAATGCAGATTTATTGTAGCAGAAAAGAGGTATCTAAGCTTCCACACAAAAATGATTTTCATTCAGGTCTGTTGAAGCTGTATCTATGGAATTTTGTAGCAAAATATGCCATAGCAAACAATCGGAAGCAAAATTCCCTTGGAGAACATCTGTGTACTGCTCCTTTAAGCAAGAGCCAAGGGAGATCCTGGCATCTAAATCCTAAAAGATGCACAATTAGGCCAACAAGCTTAGATATCCTTTAGATTAAAATAAAAAGGCTTAAAATAATGCTGATAAGATGTTTTAGTACAGTTTGTAACAAAGGAAAATGTGCAAGCCCATTTCCACCTATCCATTTGAAGCACACATCCAAACCCCCTAGAGGTATGTGCTCCCTGCCCTGGCCTCACCCAGGCACTGCCCCCACAGCAGGCACAAGGAAAGTTCTGAAAGTAAAAACTTGAGTAATGTTACTCAGAAAGTGAAGGTAATAAATGTGTACGTAACTGAAATTCTCAGCATTTAGGCGAGCACTGGGTAGAAGCCTGTGCAGAATGAGAATGCTGCAGAACAAGTAAAGTCCTACTAGTTCCCAGAGCCAAATTTTAGCTACAAGCTATCTGTGAGATTGGGAAGGCTAGACCGTGCATTCCTGCGTGCACGTGAATGACAGCGTGCTCAGGACAGATAGCTAACGAGGCATCTGACTGTATATGCAAATGTTGGCTGGCATGGGTAAATGTTCTGCAGCCTGAAGTTCAGAATGTAAAAATGGGGCGTTCTGCATCACCCTGTGCTGTGTGTTAACTATGGTGGTGTTCAACTGTACAACCACAATTCTTGCCTACGTATATACAGTTGTAGATTCTGCTTGTGCAGAAAGTGTCGCCTAAATGGATGTGATGCTTATAATTTTTAGAGAAAATGGAGGAAAGGCACATGGGGATAATGCATGCTTTTTTGGATGAAGTGGAATTTTGAAAGGGAAAGTTGAAAACAGGCCTCTGGAAGTGCAGAAATTGAAGACTAGTTGCTAAAAGATTGTTTCTGATTGTTCTTTGTAGCCAAATTGCCCCTCCTTACTGTTGTATCAGTACTTGTTCTCTAGGCAGCTCAGGTGAGATCCGAGGCCAGCCAGGAGCAGTATCCTGATGGTGAAGTGGGACCACTGGGTAACCAGTTGTGCAGGGGCTACCTGAGGCAGTACCAGGCAAAACTGACAAAACACGGACCGTGATTTAGGAGTTTGTTTACAGGCTCCACGTTCATGTTTACAATAACTTCTGAAGCTCGTGCTTTTTTACGTTTCCTGTATGAGAAGGGCAGCTGGTTACAGATATTTATCGTGTTTACCAGCATTTCCGAATAGATTTTTTTATAATACATGGTTTTATGAAGTGTAATATTTTTATAGCAGATTGATGATCTTTGGACTTTCTATATTGTTACACACAACTGCTTCAAACAAGCTCTTTGCTCCCCTTTCTCTCTGTACTGTGTTCAGTGCTGCTATGCTGCTATGCTGCTGGCTTCAGCTCCTGCTCCCACAAGCTGACAGTGTCATGAAGCCACACAAACTGACTGCAAAAAGCTGTGAGCGGATGGGAGGGTGGGCAGCGTGCTGGGACTGGCTGAAGAGCTGAGCTGAAGCAGGGTGAGGGCTGGCTGTGGAGAGATACCTGTACCTGTCTGTACTCTGTCATTTTGGCTTGGCATGTCTTTTCCTTCCTTTATAAAGAAATAAAAAGGGAGGGGAGGAAGGGATCCAGCTTGGTTTTGCATGATGCCTTTCCAGTCCCCAAGCACTGTCCATGCTTGAATGCCAGGTGTGGTGATGGTAAAGGCACGTCTTTACCTTTCCAAGTCAGTCTGGAGCCATTATTTCGGTGCAACCTGAATATTCAAGCCTCTGATTTAGGAAGCAACAAGTAACCCTGTAACCCTCCATCAGCAGATGGTTCACCCACCAGGCATATTTGGGGTTTCACTGCCAGACAAATGCGAGCATTCGTACAAGGTGCCTGGCATGGATTTCCTCTCAGAGACCTCCTGTAGTACAGGTCTTCGGAGAACCACTGGCAAGCAGCCAGCATACCCTATTCTTGCTGAGCTTACAGGTGACTGCAAAGCAAAGCCAGCCTATCCTCCTGGGAGGAACTGGGTCTGCCTCCTTGGCATTACCATCATTAAAATTCTCTTCCCCTCTGTGATATCCAGCAGCATTACATAAGTTGTGAGTCCAGATCAGGAACTACATTTTGTACCAGACATGGAAAAACTCCATGTGATCCAGATCCAAGTAAGCATAACCAAGGGAACTTGGACTTTCAAATACGTGGCACAGCATTTTTGCTATGCCCATGGGTATGCCTCTGTTCTCCTGCCAGCTGCTCCTGTCCTCCTCCTACTTCTGTCACTTCTTTTGTCTGTCCCTAATAGAAGCGACCCTTCCTGTGCCTTTACTCCTCATGGTCCTTCACCACTAAGATATGTGTATGTCTCCATCCTCTTCCTCATGCCCTTGTGCCTTCCACAAATCCTTCCTCCTTTCCTTTACCAAGCTTTTCTCTTGAAAGGTCCATACCATGGCTAGTAGAGCCACTCCTGGGAGGCAGAGCAATGACTGCTGCACTTTAGCACCACTAAAGGCTGTGGTTAAAAAAAAAAAAAAAAAAAAAAAAAAAAAAAAAAAAGGAGGCTTTTCTGGAGAGCCCTTATCATTGAAATGGGAAGACTGATAGAAAAAAAAGAAAAAAGAAGAAAGTATTCCTTTCTCCTCCTTCTCCCCTTCTAATTCCTCCTTTAACATATTTAGGGTCAGGAGTAACCCAAGCTTAACCAGTGTTTGTCACACAGAGGACATGGTTAAAAGTCACTCCTATCTGAGTAGCATCTCATTCACAGACAGCACAACTGCAGTCTGAGAGCATCAGACTGTAATAACAGTAAATAGTAGGTGCAACAATAAAAGTTAATTTCTGAAAATCACAAGCGCAGATTTTTTTGCTAAAAGCTATGGAGCAGAACAGAAGACAAGAATTTTTGTCTATTCAAATTGACCACACATTGCTTGCAGCGCACTGGCTGCTGACAATGCTGTCTGCCCATTTTCCAGATGCAAGGTAGAAGAAGTGGATCTCTATCCATTCATCCAATTGGACAGGAGGGCTATTTGTAGTGCTCTCACTGGATGTTT